CGAACACATAACGTCGCTCGCTCACTTCTCGATCATGTCCCTGCAGAGAGCCGTGACTGTCACTCACGACTCCCTGCAGGGATTTCCCCGTTCCTATCCTCCAGCGCTGACTGGAGGAATGGACGGGGAGGGGACGGGCACAGCTGGCTCTGCCTTTAGATAGGCAGAGCCAGCTGTCACTCATGCAGCTGCGTGGATCTCGACAGTAATGTTGGGATCCGTCCCAGCGGTCTCAGTATACTGTGAGCTGTAGCTCACGATACACTGAGCTTTGGGTCGCGGGAGGATGCTAGTATATGTCCTCCCGTGACCCTTAGGAGAACTATGGGGCAAAACCACTTACCCCATAGTTCTCCTTTAAAGTATATTTCCACTTTTGCAGTCAAATTTTAGAAATCCCCACTTTATGTTTATTATGTGTTCCCATCCCAAAAAAATGTCACTTCTCTTTCTAGTATTTTCTTTGGAGCAGGTTTATATAGGACTAACAAAGGACAATACGATGCACATCGTATTGTGCCCATACAGTCCTCTCGGGTCAACTAAGCAACAGCTGTGGCTCCTGGATGCTACAACTGCAGGCATAAGTTTTTGCTCCATCCCCATACGTCTGTATTTGCCTCTGTGAGAATGAGCCCTAAGGCTGGGTTCACACCTAGGCGTATTGAATAAGTGCGTTTGTCGCGCGGTTCGCGTCGCACATTTTTACCGCGATTCATGGTAAAAAAACGCTCGACAAACGAGCGTTTCCGTGGGCTACTTGGCTGTATCCCAATGGAAACGCGAGACCAAAACGCCCCAAAGAAGTACATGTACTTCTTTGGGCGTAGGCCGTTTTGTATCGCGTTCGGACGGGCGGAAATACGGCAAGGTGTGAACCAGACCCATTGAATACAATGGGATTTAGATGTTTGAGCGTTTTGTAGAGCGTTCGTCGAGCGTTGAACGCGCTACAAAACGTTCAGGTGTGAACCAGGCCTAATACAGAGCGGTCCCTGCTTCTCTCTCCCCTTCTGCAGGGTGACTGGTTTTGTCTCCGCCCCCTCCTGTCGTTTTCTGCCAACATCCTGTAGTAGGTGGGTCCTTCCTACAGTTCCGATCTCTGCACAGGCTGTGCGCTGCACAGTGATAATGTCATCACTACTCAAACACTACTATCTTACATTTCGAGTTTTGTGTAATGTAAATACAACAGGAGACTTCATATGTGTTCTAGCTTGTGAGGAATCCTCTGATGAACGTCTATGGATCATATAAGGCAGGGATCTCAAATCTCCCTGATGTTCAGGGAGTCTCCCTCTATTAGATAGCAGCTCCCTGAAGTCCGCGAGAGAGGCATTTTCTCCCTAAAATGTTTACTCTCAGTAAACCTTTCCGGTAAGATATCAGTGGGTAAGGTTTATCTCTCCAAGTACATACATAGTATAAAACCGAGCACAACCTATTTGCCACATAATAGTATAAAGGCCAGCAATTTTCAGGCTCTATTCAAACCTGGGGGCCGAGGGGTGGTAGTTGCCATGGTACCCATGTACGTTGTATGAGTGACTGCATTGAAAATACTGGGAGCATTTACACAAGCCTGCTCATGCAGGAAAAATGCAAAACAAATATGGAATTTTGCTACTCCGTTCTATCGCAGAATATTGAAAAGTAGACAACCAAAGATTAATAAAGAATGCATCAGGTAAATAAAAACTTTCTGGTTTATAGCCTGTGTAGATTTTATAGACCCTACTGACTTCTTACCTGGTACCTACATAGTACTAGGCTACAGTAGTAACATTAAAGTCAAAGGGGGGGGGGAATTTATCAAAACAGGAGCAGACGGAATCTGGAGTAGTTGCCCATAGTAACCAATCAGCTTCTCTCTTCAGTTTTTTCGGTTAGGCTTAAAAATGAAAAATAGAAGATGATTGGTTGCCATGCACAGCTGCTCCAGTTTTGATAAATTCCCCTCATTATGTTTTTACCCATTTCTAATACTGATGAAATCACTCACAATGAATACAATGAATGCTGCTCCTTGATTTTTGAAAGCTTGTGTCCCACATAATTAACTGCTCCACTGAGCACTGGCCCTGATATCCTGTTTTAGGCCCCGTTCCCACTGCGCGATATGCAAATCGCGTGTTTGTCGCGCGATTTGCATAATGCGCGACATCGCGAGATTTGCCGCGCGATGTCGCGTTCAAGCTTGCATTGAGCAAGCTTGAATCGCGGCTAAATCCGCTCAAAAAAGGGTCCTGCTGTAGCGACACACGACCCGCGACAGCAGGACCCTTTGCCCCATTGGATTGCATTGGAGCGCGATATCGCGCTGTAATTTGCCGCGATATCGCGGGAATTACCGCGCGATAAATCGCTCAATGTGAACGAGGTCTTAGGGTGGCTCCTTTCCCTTGCTGGGTCCTATGGAGTCACCCTTGTGTGTACTAGTAAGCTGTGTATCTCCACAAACACACAGGCACAGTAAAACAAATCACTCCCCCGTTCCCTGCTCCTTCATTCTCCCTGCTAATAAATGGAAAACTACTGGAGACAGCACTGTCCCTTGTCCGGCACAGGAGGTTCAGGGAAGCTGAGCTCAGAGTTGGAGCCAGCTTTTGGAAAACATGATGACTGTAAGTGTTTGGACAAAAATTTAAGGAAACACGTTTGCTGTGCAATGTATATTTGTTTGATCTGGATTTAGTGAAGAAAGTTTGAGAGTTTAATACCGCCTCAAATTCTGAATGCTGCCCACTCTACTATTACCCATTCGCCATCATTACATGTAATAGCCTTCTTTTCTTGATGTTGTACGGTTCATTCTCCCTATTAATCTGCTTCTTCTGGGTTAATGTTGTCTTTCTCATGTCCTTGACTTAATCATTTTAGAGACTTAGGAAGAAAAATTATTTGCATTCACAGCGTGGCTGAGATTGTATGAAGCTTCCAATATTTTCACAGCATTGTTCAATAAATGCAGCTCCGTATGCCCCACTGAGTTGCCTAATCCAGAAAAACAGTAGCACTACAGCTGTAAAGCTTTTCAGTCCCATTAAGGCTCTAAACATTGCATAAAAGTTGGCATAGAACGCCTACATCATCCTGAGAACTTTCAGTCCCCGTCTGGCTTTTTATTTGGGCAGCTCTTCAGTACTGTATGGCTGCCAGACACATCCTCAGGGAAACAGAGGCATTCCCCTTTCATTCAGAGAGATGATGAAGAATTTCGGTTAGCATATCCTGGAGCTCGCCCAACAAGATTCTTAGCTTCCGAAAATACTGGATCATGTGCTTCTACGTTATCGTTTTCATCCTAATTACTTTGCTACCGGGCACACATTTTTTTGTTTTTATCTTTTTTTAATACAATATTAAAGTTTTAATCCTATCTGCCGTTTTATTGTAACCTATCGTAAGCCTCCTGTTAGTAGTCAGTGTGAATGAGGCCTAATGCTATACAAAGATTTATCCTTATATTTCAACTAAGAGCCGCCCCATACAGATCCGTGCGGGTGTCCACACTCGTACGCAGACAGGATGGATCCTGTCCGAGCACCGACACCCGCACAGATGTGCAGTTCGGGTCTCCCATAGAGAAGAACAGGCTGCTGCATACAATCACACACACCACCTGTCCTTCCCAGAAGCGGCCCGATATGGCCATGCACGCCGCATGGATCTGTATGGGCCCACTCTTGGTAGTGTGAATGAGGGCTTAAAGTAGAACTGAAGCCAAAACTTTTTTTTGGATAGCCCTCTTGTCAGGTTTTTTTTTCTGGCCGTGTCCCATTGGAGATATTTATCTTTACTTCCTGTCCAATGGCCACAACAGAAAGTGAGAGGAAATCCCTCCACAGTGAGGAAAATTCCTGGTAGGAAACAGGGTTCAGCAGAAACTTGTTTGACCATTGGAAGATTTCCCATCTATACCTGTTCTGGTGGCAACCCAAAATATGTGACGTTCTTTCACTTTCAGGACAAATACAAAAAGTGAATCTCCCTAATGGGTACACAGAAAACCACCAAAACGTACAGATATTCTGATGCTTCTCCATTCTGCAACCAAAGCCAACACTTTTATTTTCAATTTTGGATACTTTTGGGTTTTTGTGCTACCGGAAAGATATTTTGGCTTTGTTTATATGTCTGCTGCATCATCCTAGGCACAGATGGTCGTTGTATTGCTTCTGGTAGTCACCAGTCTGTGATCTCACCCAGGCCTTTACATTATCATTAGGGGGTGACTTAATGGCTTAAGAACAACTGAGAAGGTCAGGGGAGGAAAAGCAGGTCAAGATCCATTGCAAGACATTAGAATGGCTCTGCCTGGTTGTGTAATGCATTATGCCTTGATCTAGCTTTAAGGAAACATGAAGCGTGCCTTGGTGAACCCTACTTCTGAAACTGCTAGTTGCCTGGCTGTCATGGCCGCTTTCTTCAAAACTTCAAGCATGTACAGTATGTAGAGAAGGATTCTCCACTTTTACATTACTTGTCGAAGCCAGAGGATCAGCATAACTGCCAATAAACTAGCATTTTCAGAGGAAGGCCAGGTACATTCTCAGGGAAGCAGAGGAATTCCCATTTCAGTCATACAGTTGGGGAGAGCAGCGGGGGTTGAAAGGGACACCGACCACTGCAGCCAGCACCAGCCGGGAGGAGAACCGAGGAGCATAGCGGCGGCAACTAATCGAAAAGCAACTAATCGAAAAGCAACAAATCGATGATATGAATCGTTGCCAACGATTCTCATTATCGATTGTAATCGATTTAACCGATTAGTTGTTGTAGCCCTAGTTAGGACTTAGACCTTGTGAAGGTTCCCAATATCAGGAGCAGCTACAAAATATACAGATCCACTTACAATGACAGATTTGAGTTTGTGGTTTTGTTGTGGGTATGTACACATGCAGTATATCATGTACACTTTTGCAGGATTTTTATGCCATTGTTTGTATACTTTAAACATGTTTTCCTTTTAATAATTATTTGTCTTTCTTTTTTGACAGGATTTAAGTGCCCAGTCTGTTCAAAGTTCATTCCCACAGACGAAATGGACTTACATCTTGTGATGTGCTTAACAAAGCCAAGAATAACGTACAATGGTAAGTGTTAGTGTTTCTTAAATGTTATCCTAAGCCTGCAGTGAAATGGAGAATGTCAGTGGGAAACATTAACTTTGGTAGAATATACCAGAAGCTGCTAGATAAATATTTCATCCTTGTTTTCTGAAATTATGGTAAGTGACACATTGGGCCTGATACATGCATTGGGTGCTAAAGATAGCATTTCAGGCCGCCCATCACTTCTGCTGTCTTAAAAAGGTCAAAGTAATTGGTTGCTATGCCCTACAAGAAACGGTCCCTAGAGTGTCGTAATTACTCTTGGAAGTGCAACAAATGGCAGGACTTGAGGCTGACTCATATACGTGTTGCTAAGGTTTATATGAAGAACAACTCTGACAGAACTGTTGCAAACATCTCTCCTGCAAAGAGCCAGAGAAACTATTTGGAAAAGTTGGGAGAGAGTAACGTATCAAATATCCGTTCCAGAGGAACCGAAAGACAAATTTTGTTGCAGAATTGTCTCAAAGCTACGACACAATCTACAATTTACTCCAACATGGAAGAGTTCTTATTTACCTCCACTTTCTTTATCACCGATATGGCCGTATCTCTTTAGGAATTTGTTGAATAGTGCCTTACAGTGGAAGTGTGACAAATAGGAACTATTGAATTTTGAGCAATCATCGGTAATAACAGAAAAAATGTTGCAGGGTTTTTTTATAAATTAGGGCAAAGCTTCTGACTACATACACATCGCCAGATATGTGCTGCAAATGTCTTGCTGAATAGCCCCCTGTAACCTGGCCCAGTATGACTTGTGACTTGCATTTTTCAGTTGATAGGGTTCATGACAACACTACCAGCAAATCTGAGTGGCTGTCCTTGATGTGAGAAAGAAGCTTAATTTTTTTACTTTTTCTCTGCTCAACATTGATCACAAGTTCATTTTTTTTATAAGATTGTTGATTTACTAAAGTAGTATTAAACTCTCAAACTTTTTCAGCTGGCTCCAGCTCTCTCAGCTTTCCTGAACTTCCTGTCCAGTACAAGAGCACAAGGGAAGCTCAGTCTCCAGTAGCTGTCCATCTAGTAACTTGTAGAAGGGAGGATGCAGGAGTGGGGGAATGGCTTGCCTTGCTGTGTGTTTGTGGAGATGCACACAGCTTACTAGCACACACAAGCGTGGCTCCATAGGACTTTGCAAGGGAAAAGAGCCACCCTAACAGGATATCAGGGCCAGTGCTCAAGGGACCAGCTGATTCGGCAGGAAACTAAAACTATTAAACTTCAAGAAGCAGCATTTTTTGTAAATGATATAGTCAGCATTTAATAACCTTTTGACTTTAATATCAAGAACTAGAGCAGCGAGAAAAAGTATGGATATTGTCCATGGCAATGAATCATTTCTCGGCTGTCATTTTCTCACCCACCTTTTCCAATGTCAAATTCACTCTTGGTTGCTTTGGAAGGCACTTCTTCTACATTTCCTTGCTCCATTTAATTCAACCCACATTACATTTCTTTGTTAAAGGGTCTGTTCACTGAAAGTAAATGTTTTGGCTATAGGTGGAGCCTGGAGAACTGAGCTAGAGCCAGGCTTCTTATATGTTTTAGATATTACAATTTTGAGATCTTGCAATAATTCATGACTGCTGTCCACTTGGAAGTTTTAAATGTTCCCACCCACTTTATGTGCTCCAGGACCTCTTGTGTTCTTCAAAATATACAGCAAAAAGATAGATATAGATGGGGCTTTTAAGGTGTCAAAAGAATGCAATCAAAAATAATAATTACATTTTACATACATAAAAAAATAACATAATAATGACGATATCACATATAATAAAATAATTTATTATTAAAAGGTTACAATATCCACTTAATTTTTTTTTTTTCATTTAATACCCACTAATATCCATGATCAAATAGCATAAAACCTACCTGGACTCTGTACAATATACACGATGCAAACATGATTGTACAATATACACTCATGCAAACATGATTATACAATATACACGATGCAAACATGATAGATACAATAAACTTATATATACATCAATTGTATCTGAGTCCAGGTAGGTTTCATGCTATTTGATCATGGATATTAGTGGGTATTAAATGAAAAAAATAAATTAAGTGGATATTGTAACCTTTTAATAATAAATGATTTTATTATATGTGATATCGTCATTATTATGTTGTATTATTTTTGATTGCATTCTTTTGACACCCTAAAAGCCCCATCTATATCTATCTTTTTGCTGTATACCTTTATTAGGGGTGTGGTGTTCCTGTAGTGATTTACACCTTTTGTATTATGTTCTTCAAAATATAAAATACATTTTAAATTAGACAGGAAGATTGGGAAGCCCTCATTATATGTTCAGTCACTATTGTCCCTAAGAGATATGAGAACTTCTCAGTTGAACTTCCCATCATATACCAAACACTAAAATAAGATATACTGTACACTTCAATATTTTCTCTGCTTCCTGTTGCTGACTGCGATGGAATACTGTTCTGGAAATTGCTTACATTTTAAAAAATTTAGGGAAATGACAACAAAAACAATAAATAAAAACTTGTGCAATTACAATTCATCAGATTTAGTCTGGCATGTTTGTCTAGAATGCTAAATATGTGGCAAAAATGACAAAAGCGAATATCACGAGCTGCTCTTCCTAAAAGTGATTGATTTATTTTGTTCTTGTTAGGCCCCCCATTCTCACTTAAAGTTAGACCTGTATATTTTTTTCATTCAGCTTTCGGGCTCCATCTACTATGAACAATGTTGACTCCCACTGCAGCTATTGCATTTTGATAGTCGGCCTTGACGGCCGACAATTTTCCATCTAGTGGCTTCATTTTTTCAGTCGAAGGATGTTGGTCAGGAAGCGGCAGACAGGGACACCCACTGAGCGAATTGCAGCCGGTTCATCAAGAACTAGTTGAAATTCACTCAGTGTGTAACCAGCTTAAGCATGAGCACAACCAGGTAATTTAGAGGTTGTTGTTATGGTATTGGAGCAGAATTGTGTATTTTGGCATCTGTAGCTATTGAAAAATGTGCGTGACTCTCTCACCACCCCCCCCCCCCCCCCCCC